ACTTTCAGAAGAGAGGTAAAATTGGGTTGTTGTAGGGAATCTAGAGTCTGAGGAGTTGGTCTCCTTGCTAACCTCTGCTCCTTGTGTACTTTTAATCTTTGTTCTGTTAAAGAAACCATCATACTTTGAACCAGTTTGAAACTTGAAGTCAGTGAGCAGAGGGCCATCCCTTTTTCTTGCACCATTCCATGTGGATTGGCTACCTGGTGAGCAAAAGCCCCTTCCAGCTGCAGCGTGTCAGCTCCTGCCCTTCCTGCCTCCCCCCTTCTCCTCGAGTTGGATTCTTTGGTCTCTTGTTGTTGCTTCCTAGCAATGTTGGCCTTGCGTTCAACTATGGTTTTTCTTCATGTGTTTTATTGGTTAAAAAAAAAAATAAATAAAAAAGACAAAAAAATTAAAAAAAAAAAAAAAAGACAAAAAAAAAAAAGTACTTCCAGAGTGTGCTGACCATTGTATTGTCCTGTACAGAGCCCAGGTCGTTAGAGTCCAGCAGAGATAAAGTGTGTTATGCAGCACCCAGTTTTTTAAGAGTATGGTTTGTGCCAATGCCCCTTCTTTAGTAGTGCCAGAGACTCTTTACAAGTGCCAATGTGGTGGAAATTATTTGGTTATACTTGTATATTATAGGATCCTGATTTAAGACAATTTAAACATTATCCTATTTAAAAAGAATACTATATAAAATGCTGTTTTTAAACCTTGTCATTTGCAATGCATGTATTGTTGTGCGTGTTGGGGGGCGGGGAGGGAAGAGGGTGGGGTAAAGGAGTTTCTGAATAAGATGCCCAGTGTCAGGATCTATTCAGACTCCAAACTGTCTCATTCCAGTCCAGGAGTGTGATTGTTTCTTGGAATGATCCCACTCTGACTGCTGGGCAACACGCTTATTACAGAAATATCTGATGGAAATTGATTTTCATATCTTTCTCCTGAAATAAACTCTCTGTTTGAAATTGGAATAAATTTTGTTCCTAAAAGCCGTGGTGGTTGTGTGTGTGTTTCTTCTCTCCTGTCTTCCCCTCTCCTTCTTCTCCTGCAGCTGTGCCTCCTGTCAGAAAATCAGGACTCTGAGGCATAGAAACAAATCATGTTTTGGTAAATAGAAGGTATAACACACCATAATTATATATTAAGCACTGTACCAATAATTCTGAAGCGTGAGCAGTGTCTGACTGGGGGTTTAAGGTGCAGAGATGCAATGGTGGCGTCTTGATTTGAAGTTTTCCAGGATTTTGGGGTAGGATTTCTAAGGGAAGTTGTTGGTGTTTGCTGCTGCCTCTTGCTGTGGTGTCAGCCCGTTGCAGGCACGGTTCCAAGCAGGATCTCTGTTGCCAATATCAGGAATGTTGGTGGAACCAGAACTGCTTCCAGTCTTGTCCATTAGAAACGTGGACTGAAATATGAAACGTGGCTTAAAATCATCCCTTAAGGAGTCCAGGGCTTGATGACTGTGAAAACTTCCACAAAGCCATTTCCTGAGATGGAGTTTATAGAGCTTAATTCCTTTTCTCTGGGCTCATTCTCCAGGAATGTTGCATTAAATCAGCTGGGAGTGGGTAGAGATGGCCAATTTCCTCTATGCAAAGGTTTCCTGTGTTTTCAGGAAGCCGCAGCTGAGGATGTTCTGCTCCCTTTGAGGTCACTTAGCGCAGGTGAAGCTGCAGCTCCTGGGCAGCCTGAAACATTCTGTTGTCTCCTACCAGGAAGGGAGCAGTGATCTGGCGGCCATAGCACTGGCAAGGGCTTAAATTGTCACTTTTTTAGTTATGGGTGAGCTTTTATTGCTTTTCTCAGTGGCTCTGTCCCCTCACAGCTGAGGAGCAGCTCCCTGTTCGTGTCCTCGGCTCCGTGAGTTGCGTTTTGTGCTGCTCTTCGCAAAGAGCCAAATCCTCTCCGTTTAAATAAAGCAAAGCAACAACTTGAGGCTCCTCCAGAAAAAGATGAAGCCTTTAACACCCAGTATTCCCAGCTGGCCTCGTGTTTTGGCCTTTTGCAGCCCCCAGGTGTGCATGGGGCTGTCCCTGGAGCGTGGCAGTGGAGGAGCAGGAGGCTGGGGCAGCCCAGGGAAGGTGGCAGATGGGAGCCCATGCAGGAGGCTCACAGTTGCTGCTTTCCCAAGGAGCACTCCAGCCCAGGCTGGATAAAGTGTTCCCAGCAGCTCAGAGAGCTCCTCCTCACCAGCTCTGCACCTCGGCTCCTCCGATCCTCCCGTGCCCATCCTGCAAGGAGAGGTGTTGGGAGCACGGGAGGCTGGTGGCATGGGGCACCTGCCACTGCCTGGAGCCTTCCTGTGGCCTGGAGCCTGCTCCAGAGGGAGGGACAGCAAAGCAGGGCTGCCCCAGCTGGGCTGGGGGCCAGGGGAGTGTCCTGATAAAGTGAGCAGGGCCAGGGTTGCAAATCACTTTAGACCTGGCCACTGGATGTCCCTGCCAACACCAAAGCAGGTCCTTGGGGTTGTGCACACGGGTAAACCAGACATGAAAGAAATAAATTTTTGTATTTTTCATATTAAAAAAAATCCCATATGCAAGAAAAGGGCAAAGAAGAGAGAGTTTGGGATTTGCCTTGTCCTTGGACAAACATCATCCTCCCAGCAGGAGGAAGCTCTTTCCTTTGAACATCCCCTTTACCCTCTTGGGAAGAGAGGGAAGTATCTGTCCAGCATAAGAATAAAATGTCATTTGGAATTTATAAAGCAGGAATATAAAGCCTCCCTCCTGTAGTTCAGGTTTCTCCCCTGTGTTATCCTGATCCCACACAGGACTCTGAAGCTGATGTGCAGCTCAGGAGCTCGGGACCAGCTTGGCCTGTGGAATGGCAGCTGCTCTTGGAACATTTCTGTCAAGAGCTCCTCCAGCCCTGGGCTCAGCGAGGGCTCATTCTGACCCAAGCTGCTTCCTGAGTGCTCTCCCAGTGATACCAGTTTGGTATAATTGTCCTCCAGCTGCTTTATCTCCTGCCATGCAGCCTGACCAGGAAGTTAAACCTCCACAAGCAATTTTTGTAACATCTCCACCACCATGGGTGGAGAACTGACGACTTTTGAAGAGTTTTTGTGGCTCTCATGCTGGACTGTGTGACAAAGACTCCACGCTTGGGTTGTGTGAAGCTCCTGGGTAACCCCAGCTGCTGAGCTGGGTGAGGATGTGGCTTGTCAGGGACCTCAGCTGCTGCCCAGGGCTGTTCAACACCCCTGGCCAAGTGCTTTTATTTGTCCTTGGCCACTCCTGTGCACTCACTGCTCCTGGAGCTGCTCCTCCCTTCATCTCAGGTGAGTATCTGTAGCTCCTGGCCATGGAAATAAATGGTATTTTTATGGAGCTCCCCAAAGACAGGTCTCTCCTGCTCTGCTGGTTTCCATCCTCCCTCCCAGGGACTCAGGCCTTCAGTCTCCAGCTCTCCAAGAGGTGACAGACTTTGCACAGGAGATGCAGGATGAGAACTGGGAAATTCTGGGCAGGATTTGGCAGCCTCAATAGAAAAGAAGTCTCTGCTCAATGTCAGCTTTGCAACCCTTGATTCAGAGCAGATTAAATGATGTAAAGAGCCCTGGGGGAAAGAGGTTTCCTTTCCTCAGCTCAGCTGTGAATTTGCTTCCAAACTGCAAGAGGGAAGTTTTTTTGGATGGGTTTGGAAGTTGTTTAGAGATAGAACCTTCAAGAACACACCCTGTTGCCAACCCAAAGAGGGCACTCTGGGCATGGAAAACTCAGCAGAATTGTGCTAGAGGTGCTTTCCTCATGCATCATCACCCACAGCAAAAACCACTGATAACTCTGCTCAGATGCAGCTTTTCTTAGTCAGGTGAGTGACCTGGGGACTTTTAGACACTTTGAATTATAAGGTTTGGAAAATATTTGGAGTCTTCACATCTCGGGCCTTGTGTTTCATATCCAGTGCTGCCACAGATGTTGGAATGGCCTCTGACAAGTCACCTTTGGACAGAGGTGAGCAGAAGGAAAGGCAAACACTCCCCAGAAGTGTGTTTTTGTCAACGAAATCCTAAACATCTGACGGAAGTGTTTGAGCTCCTCTTGCTGGGTCTCTTGCCAAATCTCCAGATTAATTTCCTCAGGTTGCAATATTTTTAAGCTCTATTGCAGAAGAGGCAGGGGTTTATTTTTTTTGTCTTAAACCATGACATGTAGAAATAAAATATTTACTGGCTGTCAGGCCATGGTGGGACTGTGTGGTTCCTCTCTTTGCTGCCAGCTTCACACTCAGTGTGCCCTGATGAACATCTGTGAGTGACAGAGGTGCACTGGGGGGAAGATGCTGGTTTTATGTGGAATGGCAACCAGAGGTGAGATGGGGTAGAATTGAGAGAGGCTCATGGAGGAAAGGAGGTGATGGAGTGAGGAAATCCCCTGAACTATCAGCTTGGAGCTCCCTGGAGGGAGTGAGGAGAGCCCCTGCTCTGAAATCCAGGCTGGACATAATTTCTGGAGGTTTAGATGGCACAGAAAACGGAGGCCATTGGTTGGGGTAGAAACCTCCAGCTTGGGATTCAGCTCTTTGAGCTGTGGCTTTCTCCTGAGCTGTTCAGGACTGGAGCCAGTGGCCCAGAGAAATCCAAATTGCACCAGGAAAAAGGCTTTCACATACTGAGGAGATTTATTGTTTTTATGTGTTCCCACGACACTGGAGCTACAGAAGAGAGGAGAGAGGAGGCAGCAGTTTCAGAGGTAGGGACAGCAGTAGTGAAGCAGGAGCTGGAAGTGTCCTCCTTGGAGCTTGGACACCCAGATGTGTGGTGTCACAAACGACAGACAGGGAGGAGGCTGCTCTTTGGATCCCTCTGATCTCATTGTGCAGCCTTCCCCTGAGGGTTACAGACATCTCCCCAGCTCCTGGAACCTCTCTGGGCTGTCCTGCTGCTCCCTCTCCGCAGCTGGAGCCACAGAGGGCTCAGTCAGGGCAGCAGGGAAGGAGTGCAGGCACTCCCCATGTGCACAGGGGACAAACACAGCCAGGGCACAACCTCAGTGCCAGCCCCACCACGGACACAGCTCGGCTTGGCCACAGAGAAGTCCTTGCCACGTCCACGAGGAGCAGTGGGAGATGTTTCCCAGGGAGAAAGGGAAAGGAAGCTGGTGAGGACGGGGCTGTGGAGGGTGAGCTCTGCAGGGGGAGCAGGGTCACGCTGACTTCATGACGCTGTTGACCCAGGGGAGGAAAGGAGCGATGTGTGTGTAGAAGCCAGGCCAGTTGTTGTGCCTGTAGGAGAAGATGCCATAGGCTTTGTTGTTGCAGACCAGCGGATCCCCAGCATCACCCTGTGGGAAGGAAGAGAGATCAGCGCTGGGTTATGGGAAGGAGTGCCTTTGCAAAGAACAGCGAGGCTGCGAACACCAGCACAGAGCTCCCCCAGCAGAGGCCTGGGCTCACAGTGGATGGGGATAACTCTGCCTCCACAAGGGAGAGTTATCCCTTTGGTGGCAGCTTAGTCAAGGACACAGCTGGGGGAACACTGAAGCTTCATTTCTGCCCTTCTGCTGGCTTCAGATACGAAGCACACTCAGACCAACAATGAGATTCAGGGTGAACCCCTCAGGCCAAGCCATTGTCCCCCTGCTGACTCCCAGGTCCTGTGCCATGGCAGACAAGGTTCCTCTTCTCCCTTGTGCTTTGTCCCTGGCTAAAACCTCCCCCTCAGCCTCCTCCTCCTCCTTGACCAGAGACTGACCTTTTCAGGTACCCCAGAGGATCTGCTGCGGCCACAAATCAAGTTGTCAGCGAGTCCTGGGTAGTGGCTGAGGCAGTCCCTTTGCCTGATGACGGTGACAGTGGCCTCACGCAGGGTGACAGTGGCTGTCCTGTAGCCCCAGCCAGCCACGCTGCACTCGCTCCCACCACGAACTTTGGATTTCTCAAAGGAAATGGGCCTGACGTGGCTGTTGCTGGTGGCATTGCCATTCAGCTGGGCAAGGGGACAGAAAACACAGAGATGAGTGTTTGGCCTGGAATCCACCGTCCCCTTCTGCTCCAGCTCAGCTCTGCAGTCAGGGCCAGGTTACCTTCAGCAAAAGAATGTCATTTCCCTTCTTAGGGCTTGTAAAACCCGGGTGGCAGTGGTACTCCTTGACCTCGAAGGTTTGCCAGCTGTCCTCTCTCCTCTGGAGCGTGTGGGCTCCCAGGATGACAGTCAGAGGTTTGTGGCTGGTGAAATCAAGCACAGTGGGTGTCACCAGCTTGTCCCTGTCTTGCCTGGGAGCACTGAGGCTCATCTCCCAGGAGAGTCCAATGACACAGAGAGAGTGTACATACATTCCCTACACACAGAATATATTATACATGCATTTTTTAAGAAGAATGGTGGGAGCAAGGGGCTCTTCCAGCAAATCTGCCCAGCCAAGAGGCAGAGCAAGTTCCCTTCCAGAGCTCTGCAAGGGCTCCTTTATCTCCAGACCTCAAGCTGGGCACATTTGCTCCAATGCTGCTGCTCTCTTTTTCTGGGCTTCAGAGGCCCATGGAAATCCAGGGATTTCTAAATCAGGATACTTCTCTGTCCTCTACATCACCCACAGAAAAAAGTGCTGCCTCAGGAAGGTTGGAAAGGACTTTGGGTATGTGCAGGAGTCCCTCCCAAGCTCCCAGGTGAGGCTCAGGCCTCCAGGCTCCTGGGTCCTCCCTTTTTCTGCCCAGGAGTGGGGACTGGCCCTGGGCCTGTCACTGGCGCCAGGGCAGAGCTGTCAGCCCTGAGGTGTGTGGGAGCTACACCCAGAGCTGTGCACATCTGGAAAAGTCCTCCTGCCCTTCCATACCCCAGCTGGGTGGGTGGAAAAGGGCTGGGCAAGCAGCTGTCTCATAGCAAATATTTCTGCCAACAAACAAGCTGGTGGCAGAAAGGACAAAGCCTGACAGCAGGTCACTGCCAGCAAGGGAAGAAGCCACTCTGACCTCCCATTGTTGACATCTGGGAAAACTAAAGGTCACAGAGAGGGGGAAAAAAAGTCAGGGTAAATATCTGAGGGCGAGCTGGGGAGGGAGATGGGGCTCAGAGCTGTCCCCAAGCCGTGCCCTGCCCTGTGCTGCCCGCCAGGGAAAGAGCCTGGCCACGGCTGATGTGACCCCAGCAGTGAGACCCCCATGCAGGAGATGCTCCCAGGCCGTGATGGAGCAGACAGCTCGCTGCAGGGGCTGTGTGGACACAGCAGGACTTACACGAGGCACTGAGCCGCCGTCATCACCCAGCTGGGGGCCACGAGGAAGCCCCCGCAGAAGTTCTTGTCCTTCCCCTGCAGGTAGGCCATGTAGGGTGTGGGGTGTGCCCTGGAGGCTGCCTTGGCTTCTCCTCCTCTCTCCTTCCACTTCCAGGGATAATCTGCAATGGATGGGGCTGGGGATGAGGGGTTTGGGGGACACAGGGCTGAGATTCATCCTTCCCCAACCCTCTCCTCACCTCCAGCCCACTCTACTTACTGGCACTGGCTGGGGGACACATCACCAGCAGGAGGGACAGCAGGAGAGTCTGCAGGTGCTCCATCACAGCCTTCTGGGCTTCAGTGGATCCCTTAGAGGTGGGGCTGTGTCTGGGGTCTCGTCCTGCTCCTAGCAAGGTTTTATAGCCTGAGACCAGACTCCAGGAAACCACAGAAGTCAGACTCATCTGCAGAATCTCTCCACGAGTTGCGTGTCTCAGCAATGCGAGAGGGGAATTCAGTCTTGGCCTTGGGCATCAACCCACCTCCATCATGGGTCTGATCTGAGGGATCTGACGTCCTTCTGAATCCAGAGCCAATTTTAGAACTTGGTGGTTGTTCTGGAAGCTGTGGGCAACGCACCCAACCTCATCTCTTTGATTTCCACTGAGGTCGTCCCTTGCAGCTTCTATTCTTCAAGCTTCTTGAGCACTTGCAAACCCTCTTGATTTTTATAATGAGCCCTACATGAACAAGACTTCTTTCACCTGATGCATCAGTTCCAAAGACCGTGCAGTGGCAGATGAGGTCTCTCAGTAGCTGCAGTCTTGGCTAATGGAGCAAAATTGTCATAAATGTGTTTATAACATGACACTGATGATACTGGGAAGAAATCCTTCCCTGGGAGGGTGGTGAAGCCCTGGCACAGGGTGCCCAGAGCAGCTGTGGCTGCCCCTGGATCCCTGGCAGTGCCCAAGGCCAGGCTGGACGGGCTTGGGGCAGCCTGGGATGGTGGAAGGTGTCCCTGCCATGGCAGGGGTGGGATGAGATGATCCCTAAGGGCCCTTCCAGTCCAAACCATTCTTGGATTTTACGGTATGAGCGGACTTTGAACTGTCACAGTTCAGCTGTGACGAAATGGGGCCGATGCTTCCTTGCTGCCCTCGCTGCCAGTAAATCTGCTTTCCCCCTTCCTCCAGTGCCACTGGGTAAACCCCATCTTTAAGCTACAAGTTGCCATTCTCGTGCAAAGCCTGCAGCAGCTGGAGCTTCAAGGAAAACCCTGACGTGATAAAGATTCATAATGCACAGATAAGCAGCTGCAGCCTGTTCACTTGCAGATTTCTGAGCTGATAGCAGCTGTGAGCAGAAGCCCAAACATGGACCCTTCTCAGTTTCCCCAGGGCAGCCTGGGTGCTGAAGGCAGAGGTGACGCAGTTTCCCTTCATCCCAGGCAAGAATGTGGAGGATTTGTGAGCAGAAATCCAGTCTGGACTGTGGAAACCTCCTCCCTCTGATGGGGGTGACCAGTGGGAGAGACTGGGAAAGACCATGAGAGCAGGGCAAGCACCCCCTTCCCCTGGACTGCAGACAGTTTTCGTATGTTTGAAATTCCCCACTGGTTTTTCCCACCACAAACCGAGTCAGTCTCCCCCTGACATCACGGACACCCTTCACCCCCTGCCAGGGAGCTCTGCACTCACCCAGCTACCAGAGCATCATCTCTGTCCCCCGTCATCTCCCCCAGGGAACTCCTGCCTCTCTCTGTACACAAGAGATGCCACCAGAAACGAGCTGCAATGAAGGAGATGTGGGATCAGAGAGCAGCCTGCTGCAGGCCGTGGAAGGAAGTTCAGACTCCAATGCAGGAGCTGTCTGAAAACAGCCCTCGAGCATCCTTTGTGGGGAGGATTTGTCTTTGGGCATCATCAGCTGAGGGGAGAGGTTTGGGCTGGCACTAGGACAGCCTCTGATCAGGGAGATGAGGATGTGCCAAGCAGCTCCACAGCAGCCAGCCAGGACTCCTCACCTTCTCCAGGGACCCCGCTGGGCCCCCACGGTTACCACGGGAGGAAAGGAGGAAGTGGCTTTGGGGTCAGGCACTTTTGTGAACCCAGGTCCTTCATCAACCCTTTAATTCAAGCCTTTCTAGCCAGGACATGGTGCAGAAACAGGGATGGACCATGGCTGCTGGCAAGAGGCAAAGGCTGGGAGCAGTGTGACAGCTGGGGCTTGGGGTGTGCCTCCTCTCCGGGATCCTAAAGCCCTGAACAGCCACCTCCCTACACCCAAGGGCACAGTCCACAAGAAGTCCAGCTCTCTCCACCCAGGGAAGCCTCTTGCAGCTCAGACAGCTGGAAGATAAGCCAGGTGTGCCCTGTGACCGTGCTGTCCGGGCTGCACTGTGCCCTGGCTGCAGCACTTCCGAGGGAACAGCCTCTGCTCTGCAGAGAACCACGAGTCCTGCTCGCTGCTGATGCCCCCAGCTTGCTGTCTGTGCTCCCAGGAGGGTGACAGCCATGCTGAAGTTGGTGAAGGGAGTGTGTGCCCATCATTTTTCCCAGAACATTTCTATCTGGGCAGTTTTTCTCCTCTCAGCACACTCTCCACCCCAGGAAGGGCAAGCATACCTCTTGTTTCTGAGCCTGCCAGTGACTCAGGATGCAGAGCTGGGATTGCTGCTGTCCCAGCAGCCAGACCCCCCCTCCTGCTCTCTGTAGCAAAGCCATGAGGAAGACAACACACGCTGGGAGATGCAGCATTGAGTTTACTGTGGGTGCTTTAAGTGCAGCAAGGTTCAAGCAGGAACAGGGTTATCTCTGAAGGAAGTGGGGTCTGTTGTGGCACAGCCTCTTTTTTGTGCCATCTGGGGCTACCCCTGCTTCTGCCAGGGTGATTTAACACAGCCCTGAGACGGGCAGGGAATGGCACAGGCAGCAGCCTCAGAACAGAATGAAGGGGGCTCTCAAGTGCACTGACCAAGTCACTTGGGTTCCCAAGGAGAGAAGAGGGAGCTGAGCCTTCAGCAGGGGCAGGAGGGAAGCTATTGCAGTCTCCAGAGCCACACCAGGGCTGGAGAAAGTGCTGCCACTGCCGCTACTTCTTCATGACTTTTTTGATCCAGGGCAGGTAGTTGGAGATGCGGGTGTAGACCCCCGGTGGGGAGTCATAGCCAAAGGAAACAACACCTTGTGCCACTTTATTACATACCAGGGGTCCACCAGAATCTCCCTGGGGAGAGAGGAGATTGATTTCAGAGGCCTCTTCCCTGTGGTAAAGCGTTTCTCCCAGCTCCCTCCCTGCCCTGTGGCTCCGTTCCTGCCCCATATCCCACCCGGCTGAAGGGGCTGCTGAGCTGGGGCTCTGCCCCTGGCGCTGTGCAGGGACTGTGGCTGCTGCCAGCACATCCAGAGAGCCAGTCCTCATGGGAAGTGTGACACTTGTCACCTGTGCCAGCAGCAGCTGCTGCTCCCCGTCTGCCCTCCCCATACCTGGCTGGAATCCTTCAGCTGGTGGAAGCTGCCTGCACAGACCATGCCAGAGTCCAGGTGTGGGTAGAAGAGGACGCATTTCCTGCGGCTGTAGATGGAGACTTTGGTCTCAAAGAGCTTGTTGGTGGCCCTGTCCTCATCGATCAGACCCCAGCCGGCGATCAAGCACTTGGTGCCCGTGGGGAGGTCACTGCCGCTCTTGGGCAGTGGGATGGTCTGGACGTAGTCATTGAGAGTGGCCTTGGATGTTAGCTGGGGGAAAGCAGGGGGTTGAGAGAGGGCTGTGAGCAGGAGACTTTCTTTGCAGAGACAGGGAGGGTCTGGCAGGCTCTGCAAGCTCTGGGGAGCTGCTGTGAAAGCCACACGAGGCTCCAAACCCTGCCCGTGGCTCCTTCCCAGCTCCCTGCCAGCCTCCAGCACCTTGGGCAGAAGCAGCTTTGCAGAAAGAGCAAACAGCCCAGTCCCTGGCAGCCCCACAGCCCCTCTGCCCCCTCAGAACTCCTTGCCTGGAGCAGCATGATGTCGTTGTACATCGTGCTGGGGTCGTATTCGGGGTGCTCGTGGTACTTGAGGACTCCCCGGACCTGCTGGCTTTTTTCTGGTTCACGGATGTCGTGAGCCCCCAGGATGACTGTGATATTCCTGGCCATGGCAGTGGAGGGGAGAAAGGGGAAATCAGGCTGGCTGTCACCCACCTCCCTCATTTTGGCAGACAGGTGCAGAGAGCTGCCCAGCACAGCAGGAACCTGCTCCAAAATTGCTCTGGGGAAGGAGCTCCCAGGCTAGGGGAGAAAGAAGGGGATGAAGCCCCTGTATCAAGCACTCACCCCATGCAGTGTGCAGCTGACATCACCCAGTCAGGGGCCACCAGGAAGCCCCCGCAGGCCCCCAGCCCCGCTATCTTCAGGTACGCCATGTACGGGTGGGAGTGGGGCCGCGCCTCGTGGCCCCCCACAATCTGATCCCGCAGAGCTCCTGCAAGACACCCCAGCACAGCTGAGCCAGGGGCTGCTGAGAGCCCAAACAAGCTGTCCCCACTCCCAGCCAAGCCCTGACTCACTGGCACTGGCCCACGGGCAGCAGAGCAGGAGCAGCAGGGCCGGCAGTGGCATCGCTGGCACAGCTGGACGCTCCTCCCCAGATGTGTGGAGGTCCTGAGTTTCCCCGTGGGCAGGGGCTGGTTTTATAGGCTGGAGGTAGCTGTGCCCAGCAGGCAGGAAACAGTGTGCAAGGGGCTGATTGTGCTGATCAGGGCAAGGCTGGCCTGGCCTCCTCAGTGCCCACGTGCCCATGGCTGTGATTGAGGGGCGATAGCGCAGCACGGAGAGTCCAGGGCAGAGAGAACCTGGTACGCCACAGCCACAGCCTCAGGGGTGCTGGCACCAAGGGAGAAGTGTCCTGTGGTGGTTTTGAGGTGTTATTTAACATTTCTACCGCATTTTCCATTTAATGTTTTTGCCTTGAGGAAATACAAGGTTCAAAAAAAAAGCCGCTTAAAAAAAAATAAGAAACAACCAACAAAACTTTGCCATTTAAAGTCATGAATGTGGTCTAGAGGAGATAATCCTGAAAGTTGCTCTTTCATATTCCTGTTTTTCCTCAAGAGATGCGCTGCAGAGCCTCTTTTCCTACAGAGATCCACCATCACCACAACCCAATTTAAATGAAAGGGCACCCAGGCACAACAGCTGTGCCTGGGACAGTTTTTGAGCACTGTGAAAAGTCAGATCTGCAGGGTTTGGTGTCAGCCCAGGTCAGAGGGGTCTTGCTGGTTCTTCTTGGCTCCTCTGGGGCCAGGAGGATCCTGCCAGCTTGGGGAGACTGGGATGTGGGAAGTTCTGCTCTACAGCAGAAGAGACTGAAGTGGGGAAGTGCAACCACCCAACTGCCAGGAGTGATCAGTCATTTTTAAACCAGCCCTGCTCCACCCTTCCTGGAGCAGAAAAACACCTGCAGGCAAGTGGATGCCTTGGGCTGTGCTGGGGCCATGCAGAGGGGACAGGATGGGTGGGTGGGGAGGGAGAGGTGAGGACAGAGATGGGGATGCCTGATGTCCATGAGCCAGCCTGACACAGAGCTGTCCACAGAGCTTCAGCCATGTTTTGTTGTTTTTTAATCATAATATCTGAAAATACAAGCTTTAATCAGGACTGTGCAGCAGCACAGCAGGAAAACCTCAACAGGAATCATCAGTATTTTATCTTGTGTTTGTAACTTGCTGTCTTTCCCTTGCAGCTGCTTGTGCCTCCCCCCAATCTGTGGCTGGAAACCCTCCTGGGAGCAGCAGCCCCAGGGCTGGAGGGACTGGGCAGGCCACAGGCCATGGA